GAGCAGGGGGGCTCCCCCCAGCAACAGCCAGAGCCCCCAGGAGGAGGCCAGTGGGTGCAGGGGGGCAGGGAGAGGGAGCAGGAGCCCTGCAGCAACCCTGCTCCAAACCCAGCATCAAAGCAGGGCCCTGCAGCAGTCCTGGGACATGATACGGGGGCAGAGGAAGGTCCAGCAGTGGCGATGGCCACAGCTGGAGGTCTCTGAGCTCATGGTTGTACCCAGACCAACAAAACGAGGCATCCAGTGCAATTAGAGTTGGCTCCAGCACCTCTTGGGTGAGCATGACCACGCAGGTGTCTTGTGCAGCCTGGGGCACAGGGACCCTCATCCTACACTCAGCACCAAGGAGGGATGGGTGGCAGCAACGGCGAGGAAGTAATGTGACTGCAACCACACCCCACAACGCAAAATTGTTAATTTATTATTATTAGGAGGCAAAAAAATTGTACAGTTACAAGAATCATTTCCCAACAGAGGTCAAATCTGAGCCAAAATATCTCTTAAAAAAAAAGGGGGGTCTGGGGGATGGGGAGTGACAACACTTTACAAGTCATTAAATTAAAAAAAAAAAAAAGAAACCTCTCCTTGTGCAATTCTGCAAAAACAAGAACAGAAGAGAAACCCCGGCCTCACCGCCCTGGAGCTGAACAGCGAGAGGAGCCCTGCAGCCCCCAGCCCTGGGCCACTGCCACGCTCTCCCCCAGCCCTGAGCGGGGGACAGGCAGCTGCCTCCCCGCTGTGCCACTGACCTGACCCCACTACGCACCCACCCTCCCGATGCCAGCGCATCCCCCCAGCCCAGCTAAGTCCCCCCCAGTCTGACCCCAGGCTGCACCTGCAGAGACCCATCAACTCATCACATAGCACAGACAGGCACAGCCTTCTTGACACCCCCCCAAAATTTCCTCTCGCCCTCTCCCCACCTGCAGACAAGGACCCAATTTTGCCCCCCAAGCCCCACTGCCCATGGCCCACTGCCCCCGCAGGGCAGCAGAGCTGGGGGCTGGCATGGGGAGCAGGGCACAGGGAGCAGGGCACGCAGAGCACCCCCCTGGCGCTGACAGGCAGCGCTGCAGGGGCACAGGGGCTCTCACGGCCCCCCCGTGTGTCTCCATGTGTCCACCCCACCCTAGCACCCCCATGCAATGTCCTTGGCCAGGGCAGAGACAGCAGCCCACAGCTGGGTGCAGGCGATGCCTTTTGGCACATGGGGAGCCAGTGCAGCCCCCCCCGAGAGGCTCCGTGGAGCCAAACACCTCCAGGGGCAGCTGGGGCAGGGAGGGGGCAGGAGCCAGCCCCCCACTCCCTGTAGGGCGCTTGCG